ATAAAACACTTTTTTTTTTTTTATTATCACCATTAGCAGTTTGATCAAATAAATAATATTCAGAGAAGAACTGCTAAAAAATTTTGGGGTGAAATTACTTTCATTTTCATTTCTTTCCATTTACACTCACTTACTTGAAACAGAAAACCAAGTCGAGCACACTGCATTGTGGGATACAGAATTCAATCAAAACACTATTGCTCTCTGGTTGTATACTGCACATTTTGGTAAATGTACCATGTAATCCAGTTAATCCATTCATACAGCAAAGTAGAGCACAGTATGCATACTGAAAAATATGTAAGCCTGTTTGCATCTCGGAGTAAACAAAGGCAATTGTGATAAAGTTTGCAACTGCAAGAAACAAAAGTTGCTATTATGAGACAGGCACAACTCCTTTTTTTCTGAGCCGCTGATACAGTGATCCTCTGATGAGCGTTCCATACTCACTTGCTGCTAAAGGCTACAGCGATGGTCTCGATGGCCTTCTCAAAATCTTTCTTGTCTGCTTCATTGCACACTTCATAGTGGTATCCTGAAGTCAAAAATAAAAACAATATGTTGGTAAATAGCTTAAAATGACAACAGAAATGCATTACTGCTGTAAAATGACTGTAAATGGCTGCTCTAACCTTTGACCTGCGAGATGAGTTTGCCGGCAGCGGTGAGTGTCTCCACCGTGTTGAGGAGAGGGTACATGCTGATGACCTGCCGCAGGATGCGCAGAACCTCCCCCAAAAACTCATGGGCCAGCGGACGCCGATTCTCCTGTTTGTCTGCAAAAAAAAACAAAAACAAAAAAAAACACACAACTTCAGACTCTTATCAGCTGAAAATGAACATCTAGATTACGGCCACACAAGCAGCTTTCATTTCAGACTTCTGATTTAACTTTGTGCCAAATAATGCATAACACTCTTCACACCATGTTATCAAATACACAAACCTATTATTAAATATCTAGCTCATATTTTACACCATAAACAAATAAAAAAAATGCCACAATGTAAAAAAGAAAATATATAAACAAAAAAAAAAACATACATTAACAAATAAAATTTAATTAACAAATAATTAAATGAATGAGTAAATCTAAATAAATAAACGGCAAATAATAAAAATAAATAAAATAAAAAATAAAATATCAAATTGTGTTACCTGGGTCATATCTCACCCCACATAGATGCAAACAAACAAATAAAAATAATTAAAATCAATCAAAAATAAAACAAATGTACACAAACAAACAGTACATAAACTAGCAAATAAAATAAATACATAAAAAGCAAACAAACCCAAAAATGAGATAAATCAAAACACAATTAGAATAAATAATATACAAATGAGAAAGTGTAATGTTAATTTGTTCAGTTTTGTTCAATAAATAAGCAATTAAACAAAAACAAAGAAATAAAATAGCTAAATAAATTAACAAATAATAATTAACAGGCTTCACTTTTTAATTTCTCAACATTTTTCTTTTGGTTATGGGGCACAATATGACCTGGATATTTCTTTGTGTCTGTCATGCTGAGAAATATCTACAGTGATCCTAAAAGAGTCAAGATGATGCAAGACAGGCCGTTTGTTCACACTGTGTTGCAGTGCTTTCTCGTCTGCTGTGACACGTCTACAAGCCACTTCCTCCCGTCACGGCTCTTAACTGTAACTCTCCAAGCGAAAAACACCTACAACTGTTACTTGCTGATTTGTTTCTTTGTTCTGTCGAAACTACCTGACTTGTACAGTAATGGGACGCACGAACAACAGGCTTTTTTCAATCAGAGAATGTAGGCTATTTGTGTAAAAAAAAATAAATTCTAGTGTAGACAATAGCTTGGTGGAAAATGCGGCATGGGTCAACCACTAAAACCAAGGCCATATATATTTGCAATAATGCAGCAAAATCACTGAAAGATGTATACTAAATATTTTTTCAGTGAGTTAAAAGTAGTGATGATTTGTTTTTACTATTATTTATTTGATTGACAATTACCAAGTACCATTGTAATCATTTACTAGCATAGTATAGAAGTCAGCAAAAAAAAAATTTTTTAATAATAATAATAATATATATATATAAAATTAATAAAATAAATAATTTAGTAGAAGCAAAATGCTAACGGGTTCCAAAACAAGAAATATAGAGCAGCCTTTATATTTCATGAAAGAGTTGCTTAACATGGGGTTGTCATATTTGAGGGTCTTTGCCACCAAAAAGTTTAAAAACACCTGCAACAGAATCTCTCAGAGTACCGCGGTATTACCATCAACCCTGTATCACGGCACCATTACAGTGCTTTTTATGAGGACCCTCTTGCGGAAAAGATCAAGAGAAAACTCAATCAGAAAACGGCAATATAATAACTGATTTCATTATTTATGGGTAAGACTATAGGCTTGATGCTGAATGACGTTACTCGACGAGTCCTGAGAGCAGAAGGGGGTGTTTTCTGAGAGAACCATTTCCTGCGCCAGTGTGGTGCACCACAGGAACTCCGCCTTACTGCAGATACAGGAAGAATATGACCTCTTGAGCAAACTCAGCCCCGCCCCTTCTCTGCTCCACGATCACATGATCTTCAGCGGAAGGTGATGTTTGCGGCAGGATGTGCAAATAGTCATGTGGCAGATAAGTAGTGAGCGCTGTTGTGCGTTTCTAACTTGAAAATAAGTACCATGAAACGTTTTGATCCATGTCAACTACACTGTAAAAATGTATTGCAATTTTAATGGTAAAAGACTAAACATTCTATAATAAAGACCTGTTGATTGGTTAATGGTAATTTACCTTACTACGTACAGGTGAAAAACTAGTAAACCTAATGGAATTTTATGTCATTTTAAAGTAAAATACTGACATTCCCAAAATTCCCTGTGAAACTGTGATGGTTTTTCATTCAAATAAATGAAGTTTGTTGTTTTTATTAGTTGTTTTTTTTACGTGTCTATATAGGTGTTTGTTCATTTTTGTTTCAGTTTGTTATTTTAGTACATCATGTTAAACTAAATGAAACTGCTAAGGAAAATAGCAATTTTTTTTTTTTTTTACATTTTATTTTCAGAAATTTTAGTTTTAATTTTAGTTTACTATTATAACCCTGTTTGTGATGATGGTTGCGAATACATTTTAAAATGTACAAAACATTTTAGTAGCCTGGTATATTAATATTATATTACTTAACGAGATACACGTTTTGTTTTACTGTAAATTTGTTCAATTCGTAAAACCTAAAATGTTTCTACCATATTTTTTTTACGGTAAAGTTCTGGCAACCACAGCTGCTGGTTTATTCCATAAATTTCACAGATGTTTTCTCCAAGAAAACCATTATCTTACCTTCAAGCACGACATCTTTCAGTTTCTCCACCGCTTTGGCAAACCGCTCCACTATGCGTAGCAATGACGGGATGTCTTCCACCTCGATAGCCACTGTAGTCTCGGGCGTCTCCGGCGAGGGACTCTGGGCGATGACGGATTTTCCCGCACCCTTACTGAAGACCCAAGACTGGATCGGGAAGCCCGCTGCACTTGGATTGCGACTCAGGGAAGTCGGCCGTTTTAGGGTGCCCATTGGGGACGGGCAGCCCACCAACTTAGTGTGCTGGGCCAAAGGGGTACCTGGACAGGAAGACGGGACATCTAGGACAGGGGGAGACAGATTGGAGGATGTGTGGGACGAAGAGGTGGCAGAATCGACTGCATCTTTCCGAGGCTGTTCTTGAAGAGCAGAGAGCTGTATGACAAAGCAAACAAGGATATGGTGTGGGCAAACTGATAATCATGGCACACAAATTTTAAGGTAGAAAGTTTTGCAGATAGAGCACGAGATCTGTGACCGACTACAATAGACGGCTGTTAGTAAACAGAACTTCTTTCACAAGAGCAATTGTGTAACCCTGGCCTACTTCCTGTCACACCCCGTAGAGTTGATGCCACACTAACTGGCCTCACTGAGGCCTAAAAACCCTCCTGTGCAAGTGAACTTGAATATAAGGCCAAGTTACAGAAAATCCCATCAATTATAACTAATTTCTGCCTCATTTTAGACAACAAACGGATGGTGAAATATAATGCACTACACAAACCAATAAGTACACAGTGATATTCCAAAATTCAGTTCACTTAAAAAGAGAATTCATTCTAAAAGAAAAAAAAAAAAAAAAGAGAGAGAAAAAAAAATAATAATAAATTATATTATACACACACACACACACACACACATACATAAATAAGCTTTGATACATAATTAAAAATAAATTGTAAAAATTAAATTGAAAAAAAAAACATTATACTTATTGGAAACCTACAATAATACACACATATAGAATTTTTTAAGTTTAAATACATACATTTCAACGTTTTGCAGTTCACTTTGATAGAATACATTTTTAGAAGAACACATATTCCTTGTAGACTATTTATATGAGGTCCTAAGACATGTATAATAGCTTTAAAACTGGCTACACCACTGGCTGACTTGTCAACGGTGTACAAATACTCACAAAAACTATAAATGCATATTAGTAGCCTACACAATACACACATTTGAAACCGTAACATACAAAAAGTTACTAGGCTACTTAAAATATGCATATTGACAAAAGTACTTTTAAAATACAACCCACCTGCTTGAGCCAGACGTTGGGTCTATTTGGTAAGATGTCCAATTTAGTTTTGCTGCTTGACTTTTTCACTCTCTGACTAGTCGCGTAAGGACTGTAGCTTTTGCTACTTGATCCACCACGCTTCAACATTTCCAGCTACGGTGCGTTACAAATCAACTTTCGACACTGTTATCCATCATATCTCATCATTTTAATGCAATACATGCCATTACAGTTTAAAAAGTACCTGGAAGTAAAGTAACTAAGTCTAGAGAAAATCCTGACAAAAAAATAAAAAAAAGTTCAAAATAAGGCAAAACCTGAACTTCCTTGCTGCGCCATACCACACTGAGGAAGTTTAGTCCGTCCTTTTGTTTTTAGACAACACAACGGTCTAAATAATCACCTTGAATTCTACATTTGTGTTTGGAGACACTGGTAATATTCGTAAATATTTCAGCAACGTCGAAAACATGAGCGCGAGAGTGAAATGTCAATCAAATTGATTGGCAGGAGGAAAAGTCGAGAGATGCTGTGCGACTTACTGATGGAGAGTTGAGAGGAGATGGGCTGCTTCCTGTTCGGCTCTTCTTTGACATCGAGTGTGTCTTTATCAGTTCCCTTGTCCTTTTAGAGAACATTTTAAGCTTTAGGTGTTTCTATCCGACGCGTATTTTTTTGTAATTTACGATATAACCCCCCTGCCCACCCCCCGGCTCCCCATTTCAAAGCGCTGATGCGAGGTTTCCACACTCCGAGCTCGGGCTTGTGTCTCACAGCTCTAATATGATCGCACATTGACTGAATCTACTGACACTCATCAGAACAGTCTGAGGCGCATCCGCTTTTGAGTTTTTTTCTCTCTCGGTCCTTTTGACAAGTGAAACAACGTTGCCTTGAAGAAACATGAGGGCTGGATAACATCATGCATGCTCGCTGGGACTTTTAAAACGACGTTTACGCAATGAGTTACATCATTTGAACACAAAAATAAGCTTTCGCCAACTGCCTCGCAAGTTGTTGTTAATGTCTGTCACCTGCTGCTTAATTAAATATTAAAACACCGCCCACTTTCGTGACAAAGCAGGTCTTGAAATCTTTTTGTTTGACAAAACATGATTTTAACTACACTTTTATTTCTAGATTGAAATATCAGTGTTAAGGTAATATTGTATGTCTTGAAAAATCAGAGCATAGCCGTCTTCAGGGTGCAAATAAAAAGAAAACCAATGGCAAAATGCAATGACATTTTCCTCATTGGTTAGATTTAGAATGGTGACAATTTCAACAGTCAACTTTTAACTTTATACGTCTTAAAAAAAAAAAAAAAAATATATATATATATATATATATATAAAAAAATAAAGGAAATTCCCAAGGAGGGCGATCAAGTTACTGAAGAGGGTAAAGGATACCCAAATTGTCTTTATTACAAATATTTTTTATAAAATCCTGAGAAAGATCTCAGCACATCCATTAAAACTACAAAACCCACAAAAGGAAGCAATTCCGTTCACAAATCTTCAAAATCGATCCAAGATTAAAGTCATCTATCACAAGTCCATAAGGACACTGCATAAAAAAAACTCACTGGAAATAAAAAAAAATATTTCCAGTTTGATTGTGTAAATGTCCACACTAGAGACATGAGAGGGCCATGTGCCTGATGTCAGTATGATCCATGTATATTACAGCTCTGTGGCAGGTCCCCATTCAATGTCATCAGTTTCGTCATCGTCGACACCAAAATCATCTTCATTATCTCTGTCGTCTTCATCGCTGTCACTATCACTTCCTCTGATCTGTGATCTCCGCATTTGCATGGCTTCGTCATGTGCCAATCTAAAAGAAAAGATTTATAAATAGATTTCAAAAGGAAAAATGTATTCATTTAGTACTTTATCTGGAACTAAACTTGACAGACCATGCAAAAATACTTACACTTTAAATGAAGGGGAGGGTTTCCTTTCTGGTTCTGCCATGCGAGCCTGAAACAGTAAAACATGTGATGATCAATAGCTCCATCAAGTATTTCAAACATATTCAATATTGAATGCATCCAAATGGCTTAACATGACTTAGTCAAGTAGAGCGTGTTCCTGGATCAGCATCCTTGTTGGTCTTGGAACAACTTTACTATCAACCAATCAGATTTTAGGGTCAGGTTAACAGTTACCTCTGGGATTAATGATGTGAAGAACAGGTTTTTTTGGGGGCAGGGTATGGTAAGGGTAAGGGAAAGGGGTTTGTCTCTGTTGGTCCTAATATGCATTTCAATCCAGGAACTACACTACACGACTTTTAAAATCTGAACAGAATTTAAAACACTGGGCATCATACCCAAACCGACTTTGTAATGGTCACAGAGTAAAAACTGGCCATCATACACTAAACGACTGAAGATCACACACTACCAGACTTTTAAGTTATTCCATTCACAACAAACTCAGGCAGAAATGTGCGCCTTGTTGCTAGGAGATGCATGACAAATGAAAACAATGTGTGTTCTAAAATCGGCTGAAAATCTCAAACATGTTTGATATCCTCCGACTGGATGGAATCAAAGTCTGAAGCTAAAGTATTTGGCCCAAGACTTCAAATGGCTGTGAAGGCCACCAGTATGTGTAGAACCTTTGATTACCTGATGGGACACACTTACAACATAGTGTTGTAAAATTGCAATTACTTAAACTTCTACTACTAGTAACTTTGGTATTTTTCAAACATGGGACAGTCTTGTGCGCTTCCTGGCATGCTCTCAAGTGGTCAAGACTGCAAGTGTGGGTATTAGAAAAGGCCCTTTGTCGGACCTACAAAGGATGTAGATCCAGGAACCTGTCCTACTTGACTTAATAATGTCATGTTACTCAAATTTTAATTAAGGTGGATTGATCAACTAATCAGATTTTAGGGTCAAGGTTAGGGTTACCTTGCAATTAATGGAGTGGTCAGTGGCATGGGTATTAGGTATATATGGTACCTGTTGAAGTTTCTCCTCTATGGCTGACAGTGGAGGGGTCTCTGATTGGACTTCTTTGGGATCTGGTGCCCTGAAGTTGGGCGGAACATCGGAAGGTGCTGGTGGTGCAGCCATGTCACCAGTGCTGAAGTCTGAATCCGTGAAACTCCGCTGTGAGGGGACATCGTCTTGTTGTTGGGGACTGTCAGGGAAAAGGCGTGGAGATCGGGGCTCTGGAACGTGGAGGATGGGAGGTATTTCCCCGGGAGGTAGGGTGTACTCGGGCTCTTCCTCCAGGTATGGCTCTGGGTCATAGGAAGGTTCAGGACTTTGATTGTGCCCAGTGGTGGGCTCAGAGGAGCGGGCCAGTGCAGTGCCACGGTTTCTGGCGATGCCTACAGAGGGTTCGTCCAGGTCCTCGTTGTCCGTGTAGGCTTCACCATCCGTAATGGCCTCACCATCGGTGTCCTCATAGTCGCTGGCACCACTGAGGTAGTCAGAGTTGTTTGCATGGCTGAATGCGTCAAGGTCTTCCTCACCGCCTCCCTCCAACTGGACATACACAGAGTACATATTAACCAACTGAAGTATGAAATGCAGGCTCTGAACCAATTCTACATTCACATCTCAGAGATTTGCTTTAGAGTTGTTGGGTTTTGGTTATGCCACAACAATCAAGTTGGAGCTTTCATAAAGTTTTGAGTTCAACAAAGACAAGTAAGGTTTTAAAGTTGAAAACTTATAATTACGTTAATACTACATGACATGAGTGTACCATTTAGCACCATAATTCTCTCTAGAGTTCTTACCGCAACTTCAGAAACCCAGACCGGTTTAGATTGCTGCTGCCGAATCTGGTCTTTCAAAACATCATACCACATGTTTGTATTAGGCTGAAGATCAATGCGTGCTGTGAAGGAAACCAAAAAAACAGAGATTGCCTTTCGGAGTACATTAAAACTTTCTGAAAGTATCTTCAAAAAAGATTCAAACAGGGAATTCAAGACAGGCTTAAAAGGTTTACCGCAAAATAGATGGCTATAGTGTTTCCTCAGCTTTAAGGCCTGAGCGTATAGGCGACGAGAGCTCTTGTTGGAGCCTGGCATGTATTTTTGCCTCATTGCCTTCACGTCTTTCCGACTATGAGGATCCAAGAAGAGCACCATGGGATGGTACTGGATATAATTCAATCTTTCTACAGCCGTGGGTGTAATGTCCAGTAAGGGATGCTTTTCCTGCAAGTGAAAACAAGTTACAAGTGTTTGGTTTAGGACAGTGTTTCTCAACTGGTGGGTTGCGATGTGTATAGTTAAAGAAACAACATCAACAACAAAAAACTTAATTCTAAATGTTATTCTGATGCGAGACTTTTATTTTGGAAGACATGTGTGAAAACTGTTGACACTTGTTAGATGCATTTTTAGTAAAAGAGTGCCTGAGAAAAACATGCTGGCCTATTCATTATCTGCGGTCAGATGAGATGTTGTCAGGCTTAAATGTCAGTGTCATTATTCTATCGTTATTTTCATAACTTGTTAAAGTCTTTCACCTCAGAAAAATGAACTATCCTGCCCTGTCAGACATTATACTGTGCTCATAGCGTGCACTCTTCAATTGCACAAGCAAATGTGACGGCGCGCTGTATATCACTACACTAAAGCATGCATTATGTGAAATAAAAGTAAAGTATCAATAAATCACACAACTGGTACTTTGCGTGTTAACAGGGAAGGATTTATATGAAGGTATAATATTCATTCTATTCAGGAGCAGTTTCCATGTTTCATTCACAGTTCATGTTAGTATTGTGTATTCACCATGGTAACGTTTTTTTCCATAACCCAAAAATGGCATGTTATTTTCACTTTGTGTTATTTTGTATGTTTAAATGACTGTGGTGGCTGAAACCATGCTAACTGTATTAACAAAAACTAGTTTGGGACTGCTATTTAATAGCCTTACCTTATAAGCTGTTTATTCATCAATATAGTCATATTCTTACAATTTAAGTGTATGTTAAGTAAAGGGGAGCGGTACTTGTGTGTGTCAACCATTTTTGTGAAATAAATTTGGTCGTGGCTTGATGACCGTGGGAAATTGTGGGTCCCGTGGCCAAACCAGTTGGGATCCACAATTAGGACATGTTGGTTTAATATTGACAGCATTACTCTGTATGAAAATAAAAAGTTTACCTGCTCTGCTATTCTCCTCACTGTGTCTAGTTTGATGACACTGGATGAACTATCACTTCCACTCCTGGATACCATTTCTATAAACCAATAAAACAGGAATATTAAATATTTGAAAGTGAATAAACTTCATTAGAAATGTTAAGAATTATTGATCTCAAAACCTATATTTAATTTTTCATACCTGCAACTTCAAATTCATCTGGCAACTCTCGGGCCAGCTTCTCATTTGCAATGTCGTTCAGAGGACCCAAAATGACGATAGGCCGTTTGAAATTGGCTGCAAATGAGCAAGCATACATGTGTTACAACCAAAGACAATGAAGAAAGTTAGAAATATTGGTCTTTAAAAAGAAACTACACTAACCTTCTCTCAGAACGACTTTCTCATATGCTGGAAATTTGCCTTGAATTGTCAACTGTAGGAGGTCATCGCGCGTTCTTCTGGCATTCTTTTTGGCCCCTCTGAGACCCCGTAACTTCCAGAACTCGGCCCTGGGGCCAGAGGCCTGGCGTTCGGCTGCACTAATTCTCTGTGCCTGCTCCAAATTGGCCAAAGTTTCAGCCCTGATATAGAGAAGAGAATCAGACACCTAGAGTACAAGTAGGAACTATAATGCAACATACTTAACAATCATACAAACTTACCACAGCTATGGAAGGAAGACTTAAAACTACTACTTTAACATACTTGGTCTGGTTAGGAATGGTGCCTTTATCCAGCTCGTGTAGATCATTGCCCATGCGCACAGCTAGCCAGGTTCCCAGCTTCCCGCGGTGCATGGTGTCCACCACCCTGAACACCTCGCCTCTGGTGAAGCTCAAGCCAACACTGCTCTCAGCCACGTGGTCGAAGTGTGTACGGATGTAGAAAGAATCACCGAGGCTGGACTTCAAAATCTTCTTGTAGACTAAGACATCAAGGGCGGAAATTAATTCAGAAATGTTATTTGTAATCCATTTTACTTCTCCAATACATTTCCTTTGGAAAAACGAGAAGAATCATTCACAGTACGACAAGGAATCTATTGTCTACTTAGTATTATAAAAACTAAATTGGGTCGATTTTAATGTCATGGTGAAATCCTAATCCTAATTCGGAGATACGAAGGCACTCACTGTTCATTTTGTTCTGAGTCCGGATATCGATGCGCTCCCCAGCATGGACGTTCATGAGATACATGGCTGCTTCCTCTCTGGTGAAGTGATTAAAGTCCACGCCGTTCACCTACCAAAATAACGGTCTTGAAGCATGGCACAGCTGAATGGTTTGATCATGTACGACATGTACGTGATTCTTTGGTCCTACCTCCAGTATCTGATCACCCTCTTGCATGCCTTGCATCTGGGCTGGACTGTTGGGCTGGACACCACCAACAAAGATGCCAACATCATTTCCTCCCACCAACCTCAACCCAACGCTGCCCTCCTTCACAAAGCTGACATGGTTCTGGTCTGAGCTGTATCTGATGTGGAGAATGAATATAATAATAATAATAATAATAAAAAAAGATACATAATTTTACTTAAATATAATAAAAAAGATTATTCTTAAATAAATACATATAAAGTATTTATACATTATGGTAATATTTTTGCTCTGCCTTTGATTTATGCTTATTTAAATATAAATATATAAAAAACAAATATATATATATATATATATATATATATATATATAAAAAAATAATAAATTAAATATAAATAAAGTATTTACACATCATAGTAATATTTGTTTTACTGTTTTCATTTATGATTTTTAAAATAATTATTTAACAAAAATATTAAATCTAAATATGTATACACCATAAATTTATTTATGCTTATTTACAATATAATAAAATATATAAAACATTAATCTATATAATATATAGTAAATATTAAGTATTAATAAGGTATTTATACATCATTGTAATAATTATTGTAGTCCCTTTAATTTATGCTTATTTGTCCTTTTATCTTGAACTGTAGATAAAAAAATTTAAGAAAAAACAAATCTTACAAAATGGCATAATATTAATGATTATTATTTCCTCTTAATTTTGGGGTGAAACATGACTCTCTCATCTGCACACAAAGAAACATTAAATTTCTCACCCCAGGTTTGGTGTTGGCACTGCATCTGGAGGAAGTGAATAAAGTGGCTCCTCTACAGTTTTCGCTGAGATAAAACAGTTACAGTTTAGTACCCAATAGTCACTCGATAGTTTGCAATGCATTATGGGCATGCTTTTAGACTGCTGACACTCACAGCTCAAAGTGGTGTGGTTGGGAATGGACACGTTAGAGCGGAGAGTGCCATTAGCACGTGGGAAACTGAAAGAAAGAGTCAGTATTCACTTTTACAAAGTGAGTCACTATGATTAGTACAATGTCTTAAGGAATTGTTTAGTGGCAACCAAGGTGTTTGTTGACTTAACTTTAACCGAAACACACTGTTGTTCTTAACACTCATGGAACTCATACTTTCCCAAAGCCTGTTTCAATATGACATAATTTGCTATTGTAAGTATGGATTATGTAAATATAGGTCATAGGAGGAGTTCCTAACCTGTGCTCGCGGTTGTAGCTGGGACTCTCAGATCTCCTGACAGGTGATGGGGCCCTTTCTGATTCAGAGGAATCTGGCGAACGAACCAAAACAACAATAAAAAAAAGATGCACAGATGCAGAAATATTCAGGAAAAATAAGGCAACATGCAGGGCATCTTTTTCCAATAAGTGCATTATATAGACCTTCAGGTGGTGGTCTGGCTGGAGCTGCTCTGAGTGAAGAATCCTGTCGGCTGTTGATGATTTCAGTCGCTTGCATTTCAGCTCTGAGACAAAACAATAATGCAAAACAATATTTGTCACATTTATATGCACAATAATAACATAAAAAAGAAAAGAGCACAAGTATCTCTTACTCTGGTCTGCTTCTGGAGTTTTTACTGAATGGAGACTGTGTTCTCGGAGGAGAGTTGTTACTTGCATCGGATTCAGATTCTGAGGGAGCTGATTAAATATGCAAATTACAGAGTATTATGGGTTATTATTAGCAATTCGAAGATAATTTAAAATGCAAATAGAACTAGTTAAAATTCAATTAAAGAGCTAATGACAGATTTAATATGAATTTAATAACAAACGAATGTGATGAATATCGTGTATTGTGTAAATACAGTGTAATATGTATGAAAGATTAACAGAACTGACAGTAATTTACACATTCATATTTAATTAACAATGTACACACAAATATTTCATATTTAAATAAATATTTGGCATGCATGAGATTGAGGAACAAAAAAATTACAAAGTATTTTCATGTCATCAAAATGTAAAATGTATATGTATTTATATGTAATTTATGCATTTATGGAAAATTAATGCGCAAATATTAATGTGTAATGTGTATGAACAATTAGAGAATTTACAGTAATTTACACATTAGTATTTGAATAATAACATTTTAATGTACATTTAAATAATATCTACACTCTGATATTTAAATATATATATACACACATTCATATTAAAAATATATATTTTTCATACTTAAGGTTGAGTTACCAAAAAAAAAAAAAAGACAAAATATTTTTGTCATGAAAATCGAAAATGTATATATTTAAATGTAATTTATAAATGTATGGAAAAGTAATGTGTAAATATGAATGTGTAATGTATATGAACAATTACAGAATTTGCACAATAATATTAAGAAAATACTGAATAATATACACAAGTTTAAATATTTAATATGACCATTTAAGATTTACACATACATTTTTTAAAATATTTTTTTATATTTAAGATTGAGGTATGAAAAATTATCAAATTTATTTTCATGCCATGAATATATAATATTTATATATTGTGGAAAAATTATATGTAAATCTTAATGTGTAATGTGCATGAATACTAACAGAATTTACACATTAATATTTAGAAAATAAAGTACAAAAACATACACAATATTTCTACATATTTTACATTCATATTTATTATTTGCACATTAACATTTTTGTCATGTTTCATATTTAATAGTGAGATACAAAACATTTATTTTCATGGCATCAATATTTCAAATTTAACCTGGAATATTCTGTTTATGATTGGCTCGTACCTCTCTGTACAGGCGTTGAGGGTTTCGCCCATTTTGGGGGATCCATTATGGGGACTGACATGACCTCAGGTGTCGCCCTGCAAGAGAAAGAGGAGAGATGGAAGGGTGAGAGAAAAAAGGAAGACGAGGGGACACTTAATTATGCTCACCCGTGAAGTGAGTGGGAACTAATGTAATATCATAGATGATTAGGAACAGGGGGAGATATTCACCTCAGGGTTTCTATGGGTCTCTCTCACTGAATAGGGTGGACTATCCATATCCATAAGTGACTATACGGTAAAATTTAAGTCCCAAAAATCCATGATTCATATGGACAAGCAGAAAATACTACAGTGAACGTATCAAAGAGATCATTAGATCCATATCTATGATACCTTCAACTCTATTACACCACTGGATGTGCAGAATATGCCTTTATATATGCCGTTTATGGTATTATGTGGATAACTTGATTGTATACTTATAAATTTAGATCTTAGATTCAAGATTATCTACATCTTAGAAGCAATATGTATAGTGACTTAAATCAACATACTACAAGAGAAAACTCAGGTTGATTTGGTGTCTTTTATTTTAAAAGATCACACATACCACATTTTCAGATATCACAATGAACAAAAATACATGATTGTACACAAACATAATGAAACAAAAAACATAAAGCAAATTAAAAACAAAAGAACACACTTTTTTCTCATCGTGTGCAGACAGATGATCGGCCCTACTGAAAGAGCCCGATGAGAGTTGATTTAAAAGTGGCAGCGATGCCTCCCTCATGTGTACCTGTATCTATTGCGGGACTCCTGTCTGCGTTGAGGTCCGGTACTATCGTCCGATTCAGACTCTGATGCAGCTGTATAGAAAACACATGCTCTTGAATGAGTCTGCTAGAATGGCCACAAAAATGGGACACAGAATTGAAACTAAAGTGTGCTATGGGGTGAAAAGTCACCTCTGGGTGGAGGCCTGTAAGGAGACGGCATGCGGCGAGGGGAATCCTGAGACATGCTAAGAGAGGAAGACTTCATGCCTGGAGGAGGAAGATCGGGAAGCACCCTGGGAAAAGAGATATAAAGAGGCAATGAAGACATTTCTAGTTCAGTAGTCGATATATCATTGAAAACTTGTGAATTAATAAAGGGTGACATGCATGTTTGTGAATTGCTAAACCAAATATGTCCAAACCTGTCCCTAGAGGACCACTATCCTGCAGAGTTTAGCCCCAACCCTAATTAAACACACCTGAACCAGCTAATCAAGGTCTTCAGACTCACTAGAAACTTCTAGGCAATTGTTTTGGAGCTAAACTCTGCAGGATGTTGGCCCTCCAGGAGCAGGATCGGACAACCCTGCACTAATCTTCATGAACATGTCTTTTAGCCAATTCAACAACTTAGCGATATTGAAAATGTGCTTAAGAGTTCATCTGGATTGGGTGTTTGCCGCTCTTGATGTGCACTCATACTTGTATCTGGAGTGATTTTCAGGTCTGGGACTCTCACGCTTTGGGGGCGGAGAGGCACTTCGGTCTGAATCTGACTCTGAAACAGCTGGTCACACAAAACAAACATAGCGTTAAGTTATTGAGATTGTATCATTGACAACATTTATGCAAATCATTAACTGAATCGCCATAATTCGGTAAAGTCTTTAATTCCAGAGCTGGTTTATATGTAATATGGTGAAATCAGCTATACTGTGTGTCGGAGCGATTTGAGGCAGACCTCTGCGAGGCTGAGAGGCAGTGGAGGAGTTCCAGTTCTGGGTGATGGGTGAGGCTCGAGGGTTTGGCAGCGCAGAGATCCCAGAGAGAACCCTGAAACAGACAAACTAACATGTGAGCCATGCATCTCACTTAAACAATCAGCAGCTTGAAAAAAACTAAACACAAAACAAGCAAACAAAAATCCAAGCAGAAAAAAATTAATAAAACAAATTAAATACAACATTATATATAACTATGGTGCTGCAGAGCCATAATTGTCTACATGCATATGGGGCCAATAAATTAACGCAAAGCCATATTTACTTGTATCGGTCTCTGTTATCGAGAGTGCCATGTCTTGACGATGGAGGCGAGTTGCCGCGGTCCGATTCAGACTCGGAGGGAACTGAACAAAAACCAAAGCATTATTCAGCCACTTGCACATACAACAATGGGCAAGTACTAAGGTCAAAATCTCTTGGCCATGATAATCCACTATGTAAAATCAATCGGACAAAATTGTCATGGTTTTGTGTGTTTCATGAATAAGAACCAATGAGTTTTGTTCAACTAAGACTCACCTCTGCGAAGGGGCACTGACTGGGCGGGTAGTCTTGTGAGTGTAGAGCGCAAAGGGGGCGATTCACGTGGTTTTGACACAGGCTCGGCACGATTTCTGCAGATCAGTGGGCTCTATTAGTGAAAAGATCATTTAACTAAACAAGATCAGGTGAGAGTTGAGATGTTTACCTGCGAGAACGTCGGTCTCTTGGACGGGATGTTCGGTTTGTGGGGGTGTCAGAATCTAGGTCTGAGATTTCTTCAGGCAAAAATTGTAAAAAGTGAATATTAAAACCCACATCAATAGAGTGCTGCAAAGATGATGTATTTTTGTAGGCCAAAACATGGAAAATTTTTTGCAGTTCTGGCTCCATCGTTCTGAAGTCAATGGGGAAGAAAAAAAATCCTATGGGGTTTTGTTGAGGGAACCAAGATGATGCCAACCGGGTTGGATTACAAAAATACGTCATCACTGCAGCACTCTATAGTATGTGATACGGCACAGATCAGCTACATGCTGTAAAAACATCTACTCCTACCATCCAGCTCCGAGCTACTGTCTTGCCGCTTCTCGTCGGCACTGTTTTGAGGACTGTCCTCCACTTCTGGAATGCTGACGAGGAACTTTCTGTCATCCCTCAACACCAACATGGTCAGTTTACCTCTAGACTTCTCCACCAGGTGCTTGGTCTCCAGCAAGGACAGATTTTCTGTCGTCATGCCGTTAATCTAAACCAGAATTAAAAAAAAAGATTACACAACATCTGCATGCATTGGAACAGTTTCTAAAGAACAAGCTCTTCACCTTCAAAACAAGATCTCCTTCCTGAAGGCTGCCCTCTTTGGCAGCCAGACCAGTGGGAGTCATGTGTTTGATGAAAATCTGACTCCCCAGCTTCATTCCGTACTCTACAGAGAGAAACATGTCAAAATCTTGGCAAGAACCACTAATAATTATACAATGCAAAGCCACTGAGATTCTGACCATCTGTGGGTTTTTTCTTGATCAGGGTTGTTCTGACAGGTTTGTCTTGCACATCCTGATTGGGAAGTCTCTTGAAGCCGGACATGATGGGAAGGTCGTGACCGTTGCGGTCAGGTGTCACGCTTCGAGTTCGTCGGTTACGGCTGGTGTCTGTGTTGCGCTGACCCCTCCTCTGTGGCATTTCGTCATCTAGTATGTTGGATTGTGAGGCAGAACGAGTAGGTCTGTTGCTCGAAGGGATCTGAACTGTGCGTGGCCTCTTTACGGTCTACAAAATGAACGAACAGTGTAATTTTTTATTTGTAAAGTTACTAAATTCAGTTTAAATGCATAGAACACTCAAGAATGCTTTTGGCAATGTTTTCACTTACAATGTTTGCAATTTTCCCGCACTTCCTCAGATTTTGAATAGTGTAAAGTGAGGTGACGTTCTCCATCGAAACGCCATTCACCATAACTATCTGATCTCGTGTCCTGCGGGCAATTAATCACGTGAGTCTCTATCACAAAAATCATCTGCCAAATATGTTTGACTATGTTGGTTTTTCCATCTTGCACACAAACATGACAGGTCGGACAGGATTAGACAGGATGTGTGGGAGGAAGTAGTGTGGGTCTGAATGCAGGGGAAGTGGATGTGTACTCACTGAAGACGACCCATGGCAGGGCCGCTGGGAAGCACATCAGAGACCATCACTGCTGAGTCCCCGTTTACGGGCTTGTCAAGCCCACCTGAGACCGCAAAACCAAAGCCGACCTTGGAATCCTGCAAACAAAAGAATAGACAAATAAAAGAATGGATGCTCAAACAAAAAAAGAATGACAGAACAATAAAAAAAAAAAGAATTAAATAAAATAAGAAATGAATTAAAAAAAACAAAAGAACAAACAAAAAATAACGAAAGAATAAGAGAAGCAAAGAAACAGAATGAAATGAACAAAAGAAAGAAAGAAGATATCAAATGAACAAAAGAAAAACAACAGAAAAAAGAAAACAAATGAGTGAAAAAAATGAAAGAATGAAAAACAAAATAGAAAAAACAAAAGAATGAAATAAAACAAGAATTAACAAATGAAAAAATGAAACAATGAAAGAAAAAGAAAAGAAAAACAAATAATCAAAGTGTTAAAAATAAAAGAAGCAACAATCAAAAGAGAACAAAACCAAAATGACAAAAAAAACAAAAGAACTAAACAAAAGACAGAATTAACAAAATAAAAAACAAATGAAAAGAATGAAAGAAACACACATAAAAAAGACCAAAATATATAACAAACAAAAGAAAATCAACAAAAAAAACGAAAATTATGAAAGAAGAAATACAAAACACAAAATAAAATTCAAATGGATGAATAAAGTACTTAAAAAAAAATACAAAAGAGCGAAGGAAAAAAAAAACGAGGAAAAAAAAAACAGAAAAAAAAAAAAACAGTTTACATATAAAAAATGATTGGATGAAGGCAGCTTCTTTCTATACTGAAATGCACCACATGACCCCAAACTTGGCATTCCAAAATTTCGGGTGTGTCCTAGTGACAGGTGGAAACAACTCTTACGACAATCATGGCATCACTATTGCTCACTAAACTTTCAATCCATCTCAACTTTCAGTTGTTGGGGAAACTCTACACCTGCCCCATTTTGGGGGATCCATTATGGGGACTGACATGACCTCAGGTGTCGCCCTGCAAGAGAAAGAGGAGAGATGGAAGGGTGAGAGAAAAAAGGAAGACGAGGGGACACTTAATTATGCTCACCCGTGAAGTGAGTGGGAACTAATGTAATATCATAGATGATTAGGAACAGGGGGAGATATTCACCTCAGGGTTTCTATGGGTCTCTCTCACTGAATAGGGTGGACTATCCATATCCATAAGTGACTATACGGTAAAATTTAAGTCCCAAAAATCCATGATTCATATGGACAAGCAGAAAATACTACAGTGAACGTATCAAAGAGATCATTAGATCCATATCTATGATACCTTCAACTCTATTACACCACTGGATGTGCAGAATATGCCTTTATATATGCCGTTTATGGTATTATGTGGATAACTTGATTGTATACTTATAAATTTAGATCTTAGATTCAAGATTATCTACATCTTAGAAGCAATATGTATAGTGACTTAAATCAACATACTACAAGAGAAAACTCAGGTTGATTTGGTGTCTTTTATTTTAAAAGATCACACATACCACATTTTCAGATATCACAATGAACAAAAATACATGATTGTACACAAACATAATGAAACAAAAAACATAAAGCAAATTAAAAACAAAAGAACACACTTTTTTCTCATCGTGTGCAGACAGATGATCGGCCCTACTGAAAGAGCCCGATGAGAGTTGATTTAAAAGTGGCAGCGATGCCTCCCTCATGTGTACCTGTATCTATTGCGGGACTCCTGTCTGCGTTGAGGTCCGGTACTATCGTCCGATTCAGACTCTGATGCAGCTGTATAGAAAACACATGCTCTTGAATGAGTCTGCTAGAATGGCCACAAAAATGGGACACAGAATTGAAACTAAAGTGTGCTATGGGGTGAAAAGTCACCTCTGGGTGGAGGCCTGTAAGGAGACGGCATGCGGCGAGGGGAATCCTGAGACATGCTAAGAGAGGAAGACTTCATGCCTGGAGGAGGAAGATCGGGAAGCACCCTGGGAAAAGAGATATAAAGAGGCAATGAAGACATTTCTAGTTCAGTAGTCGATATATCATTGAAAACTTGTGAATTAATAAAGGGTGACATGCATGTTTGTGAATTGCTAAACCAAATATGTCCAAACCTGTCCCTAGAGGACCACTATCCTGCAGAGTTTAGCCCCAACCCTAATTAAACACACCTGAACCAGCTAATCAAGGTCTTCAGACTCACTAGAAACTTCTAGGCAATTGTTTTGGAGCTAAACTCTGCAGGATGTTGGCCCTCCAGGAGCAGGATCGGACAACCCTGCACTAATCTTCATGAACATGTCTTTTAGCCAATTCAACAACTTAGCGATATTGAAAATGTGCTTAAGAGTTCATCTGGATTGGGTGTTTGCCGCTCTTGATGTGCACTCATACTTGTATCTGGAGTGATTTTCAGGTCTGGGACTCTCACGCTTTGGGGGCGGAGAGGCACTTCGGTCTGAATCTGACTCTGAAACAGCTGGTCACACAAAACAAACATAGCGTTAAGTTATTGAGATTGTATCATTGACAACATTTATGCAAATCATTAACTGAATCGCCATAATTCGGTAAAGTCTTTAATTCCAGAGCTGGTTTATATGTAATATGGTGAAATCAGCTATACTGTGTGTCGGAGCGATTTGAGGCAGACCTCTGCGAGGCTGAGAGGCAGTGGAGGAGTTCCAGTTCTGGGTGATGGGTGAGGCTCGAGGGTTTGGCAGCGCAGAGATCCCAGAGAGAACCCTGAAACAGACAAACTAACATGTGAGCCATGCATCTCACTTAAACAATCAGCAGCTTGAAAAAAACTAAACACAAAACAAGCAAACAAAAATCCAAGCAGAAAAAAATTAATAAAACAAATTAAATACAACATTATATATAACTATGGTGCTGCAGAGCCATAATTGTCTACATGCATATGGGGCCAATAAATTAACGCAAAGCCATATTTACTTGTATCGGTCTCTGTTATCGAGAGTGCCATGTCTTGACGATGGAGGCGAGTTGCCGCGGTCCGATTCAGACTCGGAGGGAACTGAACAAAAACCAAAGCATTATTCAGCCACTTGCACATACAACAATGGGCAAGTACTAAGGTCAAAATCTCTTGGCCATGATAATCCACTATGTAAAATCAATCGGACAAAATTGTCATGGTTTTGTGTGTTTCATGAATAAGAACCAATGAGTTTTGTTCAACTAAGACTCACCTCTGCGAAGGGGCACTGACTGGGCGGGTAGTCTTGTGAGTGTAGAGCGCAAAGGGGGCGATTCACGTGGTTTTGACACAGGCTCGGCACGATTTCTGCAGATCAGTGGGCTCTATTAGTGAAAAGATCATTTAACTAAACAAGATCAGGTGAGAGTTGAGATGTTTACCTGCGAGAACGTCGGTCTCTTGGATGGGATGTTCGGTTTGTGGGGGTGTCAGAATCTAGGTCTGAGATTTCTTCAGGCAAAAATTGTAAAAAGTGAATATTAAAACCCACATCAATAGAGTGCTGCAAAGATGATGTATTTTTGTAGGCCAAAACATGGAAAATTTTTTGCAGTTCTGGCTCCATCGTTCTGAAGTCAATGGGGAAGAAAAAAAATCCTATGGGGTTTTGTTGAGGGAACCAAGATGATGCCAACCGGGTTGGATTACAAAAATACGTCATCACTGCAGCACTCTATAGTATGTGATACGGCACAGATCAGCTACATGCTGTAAAAACATCTACTCCTACCATCCAGCTCCGAGCTACTGTCTTGCCGCTTCTCGTCGGCACTGTTTTGAGGACTGTCCTCCACTTCTGGAATGCTGACGAGGAACTTTCTGTCATCCCTCAACACCAACATGGTCAGTTTACCTCTAGACTTCTCCACCAGGTGCTTGGTCTCCAGCAAGGACAGATTTTCTGTCGTCATGCCGTTAATCTAAACCAGAATTAAAAAAAAAAAAGATTACACAACATCTGCATGCATTGGAACAGTTTCTAAAGAACAAGCTCTTCACCTTCAAAACAAGATCTCCTTCCTGAAGGCTGCCCTCTTTGGCAGCCAGACCAGTGGGAGTCATGTGTTTGATGAAAATCTGACTCCCCAGCTTCATTCCGTACTCTACAGAGAGAAACATGTCAAAATCTTGGCAAGAACCACTAATAATTATACAATGCAAAGCCACTGAGATTCTGACCATCTGTGGGTTTTTTCTTGATCAGGGTTGTTCTGACAGGTTTGTCTTGCACATCCTGATTGGGAAGTCTCTTGAAGCCGGACATGATGGGAAGGTCGTGACCGTTGCGGTCAGGTGTCACGCTTCGAGTTCGTCGGTTACGGCTGGTGTCTGTGTTGCGCTGACCCCTCCTCTGTGGCATTTCGTCATCTAGTATGTTGGATTGTGAGGCAGAACGAGTAGGTCTGTTGCTCGAAGGGATCTGAACTGTGCGTGGCCTCTTTACGGTCTACAAAATGAACGAACAGTGTAATTTTTTATTTGTAAAGTTACTAAATTCAGTTTAAATGCATAGAACACTCAAGAATGCTTTTGGCAATGTTTTCACTTACAATGTTTGCAATTTTCCCGCACTTCCTCAGATTTTGAATAGTGTAAAGTGAGGTGACGTTCTCCATCGAAACGCCATTCACCATAACTATCTGATCTCGTGTCCTGCGGGCAATTAATCACGTGAGTCTCTATCACAAAAATCATCTGCCAAATATGTTTGACTATGTTGGTTTTTCCATCTTGCACACAAACATGACAGGTCGGACAGGATTAGACAGGATGTGTGGGAGGAAGTAGTGTGGGTCTGAATGCAGGGGAAGTGGATGTGTACTCACTGAAGACGACCCATGGCAGGGCCGCTGGGAAGCACATCAGAGACCATCACTGCTGAGTCCCCGTTTACGGGCTTGTCAAGCCCACCTGAGACCGCAAAACCAAAGCCGACCTTGGAATCCTGCAAACAAAAGAATAGACAAATAAAAGAATGGATGCTCAAACAAAAAAAGAATGACAGAACAATAAAAAAAAAAGAATTAAATAAAATAAGAAATGAATTAAAAAAAACAAAAGAACAAACAAAAAATAACGAAAGAATAAGAGAAGCAAAGAAACAGAATGAAATGAACAAAAGAAAGAAAGAAGATATCAAATGAACAAAAGAAAAACAACAGAAAAAAGAAAACAAATGAGTGAAAAAAATGAAAGAATGAAAAACAAAATAGAAAAAACAAAAGAATGAAATAAAACAAGAATTAACAAATGAAAAAATGAAACAATGAAAGAAAAACAAAAGAAAAACAAATAATCAAAGTGTGTTAAAAATAAAAGAAGCAACAATCAAAAGAGAACAAAACCAAAATGACAAAAAAAACAAAAGAACTAAACAAAAGACAGAATTAACAAAATAAAAAACAAATGAAAAGAATGAAAGAAACACACATAAAAAAGACCAAAATATATAACAAACAAAAGAAAATCAACAAAAAAAACGAAAATTATGAAAGAAGAAATACAAAACACAAAATAAAATTCAAATGGATGAATAAAGTACTTAAAAAAAAATACAAAAGAGCGAAGGAAAAAAAAAACGAGGAAAAAAAAAACAGAAAAAAAAAAAAACAGTTTACATATAAAAAATGATTGGATGAAGGCAGCTTCTTTCTATACTGAAATGCACCACATGACCCCAAACTTGGCATTCCAAAATTTCGGGTGTGTCCTAGTGACAGGTGGAAACAACTCTTACGACAATCATGGCATCACTATTGCTCACTAAACTTTCAATCCATCTCAACTTTCAGTTGTTGGGGAAACTCTACACCTGCCATCATGTTCTCTGACAACCTGTACAGAGCTCGATAAAGGTGTGGCTAAAGCGAAAATAATCCCTCAATTCGCAACTTACTTTCGTTAACGTGACCGTGTGCTGCTCCCATATTGTCATCTCCTCCATGACTGCCTTCTGAAACGAGAAAGAAGAGGTTACATTTATTTGTGCAACAAGCAAACAGCAACAAAATATCAACATTTACAAAGCTACCACACAAATATCTGTTCAGATGAAAAGCACCAGTTTTTGAGGGCCTCACTTCTTTTTGAAGGTCCAGCACTCGGCTGTTGTTTGTCAGCACAGCCGAGCATGAGTGGGAATGGCTCTAGCTGAGCATGCTCCCACCTGCTGAATTCCTGCCATACAGGTACATGGGGGCGGAGCAAGCACGTGACATCAGCGATACCCGACACTTCCTCACCAACGGCTCACCAAACCAATAAACAGTCTGACAATACACGTCTCTCAGGAGGCATTCACTGGGTGGCTAAAATCACTGGCATGCCATTTGATTTGGAAACCGACCACTGGAAACTTGCCAACATATGATGACCTACATTACAAATACTAGTCAATCGTGACTGGTAAAGTTATTATCAGTACCATACCCTATTCTGAAGTTCATGTTTAGTACGGCTGATGCAAGTTAGTTAATAATGAGCAATGAATTGTAAAATTTGCTGAATTTTAATATCTAACATTTGATTTCAAGTCAAACTGTTTTACGTGTCCCCAAACAAAGACCTGTAACCATGCTATGAGAGCGGTTTCTATTGGACTAGAGAATTCCTGGAATGTTTCCCATGTTTTTATTGGCCGGTGTTGGCAAGCAAAGGTCAGAGAGAGTGTCTGTTCACAAACCAAAACAAAATGAACATCTATACCACTCATTTTTTTCAGAAAATATAAAAATCTAGGTGTGAGATTGTGACTGTCCCCTAAAGATATGCTCAAATATTATATAAATTGATGAACATATTTCATATATGAACACAAAACTATAAAAACTATGACTACACAGGACACTAGTATTACTTTGAAATTGCGTAGATTTCTGATATGAAACAAACTATGACTACTGTCGATGACACCAGCATTAGTCATAAAGGAAGTGGCTCACACTGAGGAAAGCAGGGATGCAAATATCAGAACTACTCTTTTCTAGGAAACTCCCTTCATGGAATATGTTAGACTCTAACAGTCCGGTGTTCCTACACCTGTTCTGACATACTACTGAGTCTGACTATGCTGTAGTTTATGATTATATGAAACACATCACTGCACAGAGCCTTACCAACAAAAAGCTAATGGGTTACCAAACTCAATTCATTTATGTGAACTTGCATAAACCTAATCAGCACAATCTTCGAATCATATGGACTTTTCTGTCATTTTAGAGCTTGACAGCCCGAGTACCAATTCACTTTCATTATATTAAAAAAGAGCAGCTAGGTCATTCTGCAGAATATCTCCTTTTGTGCTTTACAGAAGAAGAAAAAAACAGTCACGAGTTTGAAATGACATGAGGGTGAGTAAATGATCACAGAAATGTCATTTTTGGGTGAACTATCCCTTTAAGGGTCATAGCTGCTAAGTCACATGTTAGCGTATAATAATGGAATGTAACAATGTACAACATGTAGTAAAAAACAGTGAGTAAGCATCTAGAAAATGACTGAAATCACAACCCTGCCCATGAGGAAAGCACATGATTCCTGTAATTAGTGTGCTACAAATAAGTACACTGACTGTTTGCCAATTTATCATATTCAATCTGTACGTAATTAAGGCTATTTTACTCTTCCGTAACCTTATAACAGTAACAAAAGTCTCAAACTATACAGGTTTGAGCCTCAGTAAAGCCTCAGTACAACAGGTGCAAGTCAGTATTTATAGTCTCGCCTGTGTAAAGCTGTTATTACATGGCTCAGATGACACATTACGCTGTTTGGTAAACTTAAGAAAGCTCATGTTAGACACATTCAACTGCTAGCATAAACAACTAGTACTTACCGTCCCTTTAAATCTCACTTCCATTTCCACCAGACAGAACTAAATGTGACTGGCTACCTTATTAGCATAGGAAGGTAAACAAAGCAGGGTATCCAAAATATGGGAGTAAATGTACTATCTCCATTTTTGGAGATGCATGCACCTGACAAGTAGTTAATGTGGAAAAAAAAAAAAAACTGTGTACGAACCCCCACCTGAGCCCAAAGAAAGCTCCACCCACTAGTTCAACAAATCTTTTGGTACTTTTTGATATTTACTGTCCCTCAAGGAATTAAGGAGGAACTTGGATCTCTAGGTGGGGCAGTCTCCATTCGCTGAGACAATGCCACCTTATGAAGACTATTGATGGATAGAGAATGGTTTATTTAAGGTTTCATAATCCAGACTTGGTATCCAAGGCATCGAAAACAAAACAAAACAAAAAATTCCCAAAATGCCCTCAAATATTTTGGGAATGTCCTCCGATAACAAGCCCTTGAGTTGCTAAAGGAAGCTGATGAGCTTACACTGACAATCATTACCCGGCCTGTTAATGTTTCATCTGATACTGAAGGTTTCTGCATATGTTGGGCTTGATGAAGCAGAACACAAACACTAACGCTAAGCATGTGGGTCACTGACATTTAGCATAAATTTCCACAATCAGTGTTATTTTAGTATTATTTATATAATATTACAGTATTTATTACTATTTTGAATTTTATTTTATATTGCTGGTTTTCATTTTCTTTTTAGTTTTACTAACTTATGTGCTTTTGGATGATCTTTTCTTCAATATTTTTATTTAGCTTTAATACAATTTTATTTAAGTTATCGTATTTATTTCAGGAAGTTGCCAAAGCAAAATCTCTAATTTCCAATACGTTTTTTAGATTTAGTATAGTTATAATTTATATTATTTCAGATTTATTTCAAACACCAACAACCCTTTATATATATATATATATATATATATTTTTTAGATTAGTAAACAATTAACACTGTCCAGAATGGGAAAAAAAATTAAAGAAAAAAATAAGACAAATTCTTAGAAATGTAGTGTATGTATTCATGTTGGTTTCATATGGTTTTGAAGAACTTCTATATCATTTTCAACAAATTTTAATTAAATTAAAAAAAAAAAAAAGTAAAAAGCAAAAACATACTTTCAGAGTGCAGAGTTAAAAACAGAGTGCATACAATCATTATTCTTTTTTAAATTAACAAAAATATATTTCATGATAAAAAATTAACTTTGTCTTGTCATAATGTCAGATTTGTATTTCATAATACAAAAATCTTTTAAAAATGAACCTGAATCCAGAAATTAAAGACATGCACATCATGTGTGGGATGTAAAGGAATGTTATGAATCGTATTTCTAACATATTTCAGAATAAGTTATTTCAGACACAAAATGAGCATTGAGCCACCACTTTCTTCTGTGCAACATAAAAGATATTTTGAGAAATGTCAGTGTTTTTTTTTTTCTCTCTCCATACAATGGACGTTAATGTAACAATAATGTTCACGTCATATGATCTGTTCTGCAGAAGAAAGAAAATCATACAGGTTTGAAACGACATGAGGGTGAGTAAAATAATGATAATTTTTTTTTTTTTTTTTTAAAGACAAGTGATGTGACATGTGGCCAAGTATGGTGACCCATACTCGGAATTAGTGCTCTGCATTTATCCCATCCAAAGTGCACACACACAGCAGTGAACACACACACACCGTGAACACACACCCGGAGCAGTGGGCAGCCATTTATGCTGCGGCACCCGGGGAACTGTCCCTTTAAGTCAACCATCCCAATAGCAAACACACACAAAAAAACAAAACACATAACAACATGCTAAAAACCACTCTGAACACCTTAGCAACAGGAACAAAGTATAGCTACCAATGGAATACAGCTGGATTTCCCATATCAAAGATGTGGGCTTCATCTCTGTGGTTACATTTGTACCACCGTATTTGCATTTGCAGGGACTACACCGCAAAAAAATGGCTTATATACTTAGTATTTTTGTCTTGTTTCTAGTCAAAATATCAAAAATTCTTAAATCAAGATACTTTGACTAGATAAGCCAAATGACTTAAGATATTTGGTCTTGTTTCAATGGGGAAAAAAACTAAATTAAGTGCATTTTGCTTAAAAAAAAGGGTAAAATGATCTGCCAGTGGGGTAAGTAAAATATTCTTAAAACAAGAGTATTTTACTTACACCACTGGCAGATCATTTTACCGGTTTTAAGCAAAATGCACTTAATTTAGTTTTTTACCCCTGGAAACAAGTGTAGTAGCCAGTCTTTTCTTAGACTAAACTTAACTTGATGCGTCTTTGGTGTCAAGGGTAATACAAAATGGTATATCATTTTAATTCAGTTATGACATTTCATACACTTACAAAAGGTACAATGGTGTTACCATGTTTCTTGACATTGCCACCAAAACCATGATGGTAACACTGGTATCATTTGAAGTACCTTAGAATCATTAGATCAACTGTTCTCAACCAGAGGACAGGTGACCATTCGACAGTAGCCTGTTCTCTTGCTCCTCAGGAAAAGTGTTTTGTCTAACAGAAGTTCATCATGGAAATGTAAAGCTGATGATTGTCCAATGCAAAACAAAACTTAAGCTCCTTGCCGAAGTGAACCTTGCGCTATGTCTTGCATATGTGAGGTTTGTACAACTTCAGCTAGGCCCACATGGAATCTGTGGCCACACACAAAAAAAAGATCCTACAGAAAGAAGATACTTGAGGTAACATTCGGGGTTCCTTTTGGTCGGCACATTGGTAGAACCCTTTGGAGAACCTCTAGGCACACTTTCAAAATGGAGAGTCAGTAATGTTCTATAAGGAACGTACAGCCAGTTCCTTTAGTAACTCTAAAGAAAGTTTCTCCAGTGGCCCCTTTATAAAAGAAAGCCTTTTGGGGCACTTAAAATATATACTGAAGATCTCTCAGGACTCAAATCACATTTGAGGCACCTTTAAAGGTGGCTGGTGCTTCCCCGGAGGGTTCCTGCAATGAGGAACCAAAATGGTACCTCAAGTGTCTTTTCATTTCTGCATGCTCCATCTTGAGCAAAATCTTTAAGCAAAATATACTGTACGATGTGGTGTGACATAACCTAAACAAACCTTAAATCGTTTTCACTCTTGGTAAATCAATACTCTTTTAAAGCCCCAGTGTATAAAATTCCGGATGTTTAAACTGGTGTGACAACCTTGGTAACTATCCATAGTATGGAGACAAAGTGTTTAGGAACACCAGACTTCCTCCCATCTTATGAAGCAGAATCTCATGCTTGTGGAACCGAGGCCAGTGGCGGAGCAGGACGCCGGCAGTGGTCAGACTACAGCCCTGAGTGTGTGCGCGTCTACAGGAGAGTCCGACTGGAAGGATCTCACTCGGGTTGTGGGTACTTAATGACTGACTGCCGTGATTCTGTTCCACCTTGCAGCATGCTGTTCAACACCTCTCGTACATTTATGATGGCTTCAGAGCTGCAGTGGCTGTTGGGTACTGGGAGCATCTGCTGGTCCGTAGGGGAGGGAGAGATGCGCGACAACAAGGAAGATGATGAAGGTGGTGTGAGTGAGTGAGTGAAGTTGGACAAGGAAGAAGAGAAGGAATTTGACAAGACCATGGGTACCGACAAAGGTGCATCTGAGGAGGAAGAGGCAGGGACAGTCTGACTAGGGGGTGTTATAAAGGAGTTCAAAGACAGTATCATGTCTAACAGTTCTGTGTCCCGTGCTGAACTGCTTTCCTGTGTGGCCTGGCTCCCCTGCTGTGGTTGTTGCTGCTCTTGAATAAACACTTCAAGGTTAAAGTCATCCACCATAGGTTCGAGTTGCCTGGAGAGGTTGTCTACAGCCAGGTCAGCTTGAGTGCTAACTTGGGAGGAGGGCGAGGATCTTTGAACCGACAAGTCCAGGATTTCTTCCAAAGGGTATTTTATGGAAGGGAACGAGGGGAAGGAGATGTACGGAGTGGGTAAGCTGGCCAGGCTGGGATTTGGCAAAGATGAGGTGAACAAATTTTGGGAGAAAATCTCTTGCTGCTGACGCTGTGTCATCAGCCTCTGTTGCTCCTCAGCCTGACGCTGCTCCTGAGCTTGCTGCTCCTTCTCTCGATGTCGCTGCTTCACCTCTGCATCCATCCTCACCAACTCCTGACGTACCTTTGACATGCAGTTCTCTGGGATTTTAATACCTAGGTTGAAGAGAGAACATTGATTAAAAGATGCCGCCTTCTTTCAAACGACTGCAGTGGTTTTGTTGAACCTACAACCTTTTGGTTTGGAACTCCTCAGGAAGGGTTAACGGGTTGACTCACCAACTTGTTTGCTGCTGTCTTTGGTTTTGAGGCGGACAATTTGGAGAATGCTGGAATTGGTGATGTCAGCGACCACATCAGACACACGCTTCCAAACGCGGAGCAGAGCGCCACACAACATGTGATACTGACGCAATCGAGTACCCATTAAGCACTCCTGACCCTCCTCTACCTTCTTACACCTCCCGTTCCTGCAGGAAACATGAATACACGTTAAATCCTCTGAGCTCAGTTTGACTAGTACGAAGTCAGAAGTCTGGAAGGTTTTCTCACCAGTTAGCATGGCTACATTTCCTGAAGGAGAACGTGAACTGGTTTTCCCAGCTATCTTGTGCCTCCTCTGGAGTGACCTGAAGCAAGGGGAGAAAACATCACTTAAAAACAGTGTCTTCAACCTATATTGCTCACTAGATGGCAGCAGAGACGTTTTCCACACAGCAGGGTCTGATCATTACATTTATGATGAAGAGTTTGAACACACCTTGTGGTATTTTTGTTGAAGGTTATCAAGGCTTTCCGTTTGGGCCTGCTTGCCGATGTTTGGTTTGTAGATGATCATGTTGTGCTCCTGGCCCTGCACGGCTAGCAGCACGCATGGATAGTTACCTCTCAACTGCAAATGAGACAGGCACAAACATGTTCAACTGCAGAGTCAACATCAGACAACTACGGAAGAACTCTAATGACACATGAACCCTCCTTCACCCCTGAACTGAAAGGTTCTTCCAAGGAACCATCTTTTCTGTGTTACTACAAGGAAACTACATGCAAATGTGGAAAGATGAGCTTTTTTGCTCATATACTCACTTTATGGGATAAATAGAAGCCTTCATCCGGGTTACTGAGAGTTTGGGCCTTCTGGAAAGCCTCCAACCATGCCATACCTCTATCTACACTTATCTGTGCAACAAAACAAACAGTTCTGTCAGAGATAATGCTTGTCAGACATGTCCACAATGGTTGGAGCTATGACTGGATCCCAAATTTATGAGAAAAAGGTATCGCAGTGTGGTTTATTCTCGGTCAAGGAACTGCTTACAGTAATGGCTGTTAAACCAGTCCTCATTGCATAAGCTGTAAAAATAAACTTTGCTCTTGGTGGAAGGGATGATTAGAATGTTTTGTAGTGTATGTCACACATGAAACTCGTGTGCCTTAGGCATATTTTCTGAGCTCTGCCATTAAAGAGCTGTTTTATTTGAACCTCTGCTTCTACTTTTTAAAAAAAAAAACTGACCTTATATAGGATAACTTGACCATCTTGAGGGTTTCCCGCCGTTAGAAACTTCTCCTGTGTTTCCTCATAAATCTGGTCATTTCCTGGTGCCAGATCTGAGAGAAAGCAGAAATCTTCATGTTGTCATCTAAGCAGATTAATGCAACTTAAATTACCACACCAACAAGAAGAAGTGCTGCTTACCCAGTATTCCCATATCATATTTGCCCTCTTTCTTGTCCTTTTCGATCAAGTAGTCGAAATTGTCCGTAAAATACTGGAAGAGGGAGTTCTGTTTGTGCACCTCCAGGCCCAGTATCCGGTTGAGGAACTTGGTGATATTGCAGTCTGAAACAACATGAAGTCACATGATGTAGGGAAATATGCGGATGTGTGTGATTAGCATGTGAAGAAACGTGTCAAGTGTGGACAAAACAGATAAGATATGCAATATGTCTCTTGTGGAAACCTTACCTTTTTCAGTGTTGATGCCCAAGCGTGAATTACTGCATAGCATGCCTACGTCCATCATACCGTGCTTCATGTCTAAGATTAGAAAGCATTGGTAGCTTTGGTGAGATTAAGGTTCTAGCTGATCCACATCTTAACAGAATAATGCACAGAACCGGTTTACCTCTAAAGAACATGGAATCGCCACCAGGATAGTCATTTGGAGGGAGTACCTTGCTTTCAATCTGACCAAGGATGGCTTTGGTAATCTTATCTAGAGCTTTGGTGCCATACTATGAGGAACAGCCAAAACAGACCACGGGTTAGTCCATGATTTATCTGAGTATTTTTAGCAGTCATTGTTCTATATCAAACAGTTACTCACTTTATTTTCAAAGTTGTACTTGCTCAGGTCTCTAGACTCTGTGGCCCTCCTGTCACCATGAGTCAGAGCTCCCTGTGAAAAGCAAACACATAGGTTAGGAATGTCAGGACCAAAGTAGTGATTTGAACGTATTACATCTTGTAAAAAGGGGAATAATAGGTGCCCTTTAATTATATAACATGTAAATGCAAGCAGAAACGTGTAATAAAATATGTGACCCTGCACCACAAAACCAGTCTTAAGTCGCTGGGGTATATTTATAGCAATAGCCAAAAATACATTGTATGGGTCAAAATTATAGATTTTTCTTTTATGCCAAAAATCATTAGGATATTAAGTAAAGATCATGTTCCATGAAGATATTTTGTAAATTTCCTACCGTAAATATATCAAAACTTAAATTTTGATTGGTAATATGGATTGCTAAGGACTTCATTTGGATAACTTTAAAGGCAATTTTCTCAATATAGTTGTATCTCGACCAAATATTGTCCATACATAAACCATACATCAATGGAAAGCTTATTTGTTCAGCTTTCAGATGATGTATAAATCTCAATTTTGAAAAATGTGTCATCAGCCTCTGTTGCTCCTCAGCCTGACGCTGCTCCTGAGCTTGCTGCTCCTTCTCTCGATGTCGCTGCTTCACCTCTGCATCCATCCTCACCAACTCCTGACGTACCTTTGACATGCAGTTCTCTGGGATTTTAATACCTAGGTTGAAGAGAGAACATTGATTAAAAGATGCCGCCTTCTTTCAAACGACTGCAGTGGTTTTGTTGAACCTACAACCTTTTGGTTTGGAACTCCTCAGGAAGGGTTAACGGGTTGACTCACCAACTTGTTTGCTGCTGTCTTTGGTTTTGAGGCGGACAATTTGGAGAATGCTGGAATTGGTGATGTCAGCGACCACATCAGACACACGCTTCCAAACGCGGAGCAGAGCGCCACACAACATGTGATACTGACGCAATCGAGTACCCATTAAGCACTCCTGACCCTCCTCTACCTTCTTACACCTCCCGTTCCTGCAGGAAACATGAATACACGTTAAATCCTCTGAGCTCAGTTTGACTAGTACGAAGTCAGAAGTCTGGAAGGTTTTCTCACCAGTTAGCATGGCTACATTTCCTGAAGGAGAACGTGAACTGGTTTTCCCAGCTATCTTGTGCCTCCTCTGGAGTGACCTGAAGCAAGGGGAGAAAACATCACTTAAAAACAGTGTCTTCAACCTATATTGCTCACTAGATGGCAGCAGAGACGTTTTCCACACAGCAGGGTCTGATCATTACATTTATGATGAAGAGTTTGAACACACCTTGTGGTATTTTTGTTGAAGGTTATCAAGGCTTTCCGTTTGGGCCTGCTTGCCGATGTTTGGTTTGTAGATGATCATGTTGTGCTCCTGGCCCTGCACGGCTAGCAGCACGCATGGATAGTTACCTCTCAACTGCAAATGAGACAGGCACAAACATGTTCAACTGCAGAGTCAACATCAGACAACTACGGAAGAACTCTAATGACACATGAACCCTCCTTCACCCCTGAACTGAAAGGTTCTTCCAAGGAACCATCTTTTCTGTGTTACTACAAGGAAACTACATGCAAATGTGGAAAGATGAGCTTTTTTGCTCATATACTCACTTTATGGGATAAATAGAAGCCTTCATCCGGGTTACTGAGAGTTTGGGCCTTCTGGAAAGCCTCCAACCATGCCATACCTCTATCTACACTTATCTGTGCAACAAAACAAACAGTTCTGTCAGAGATAATGCTTGTCAGACATGTCCACAATGGTTGGAGCTATGACTGGATCCCAAATTTATGAGAAAAAGGTATCGCAGTGTGGTTTATTCTCGGTCAAGGAACTGCTTACAGTAATGGCTGTTAAACCAGTCCTCATTGCATAAGCTGTAAAAATAAACTTTGCTCTTGGTGGAAGGGATGATTAGAATGTTTTGTAGTGTATGTCACACATGAAACTCGTGTGCCTTAGGCATATTTTCTGAGCTCTGCCATTAAAGAGCTGTTTTATTTGAACCTCTGCTTCTACTTTTTAAAAAAAAAAACTGACCTTATATAGGATAACTTGACCATCTTGAGGGTTTCCCGCCGTTAGAAACTTCTCCTGTGTTTCCTCATAAATCTGGTCATTTCCTGGTGCCAGATCTGAGAGAAAGCAGAAATCTTCATGTTGTCATCTAAGCAGATTAATGCAACTTAAATTACCACACCAACAAGAAGAAGTGCTGCTTACCCAGTATTCCCATATCATATTTGCCCTCTTTCTTGTCCTTTTCGATCAAGTAGTCGAAATTGTCCGTAAAATACTGGAAGAGGGAGTTCTGTTTGTGCACCTCCAGGCCCAGTATCCGGTTGAGGAACTTGGTGATATTGCAGTCTGAAACAACATGAAGTCACATGATGTAGGGAAATATGCGGATGTGTGTGATTAGCATGTGAAGAAACGTGTCAAGTGTGGACAAAACAGATAAGATATGCAATATGTCTCTTGTGGAAACCTTACCTTTTTCAGTGTTGATGCCCAAGCGTGAATTACTGCATAGCATGCCTACGTCCATCATACCGTGCTTCATGTCTAAGATTAGAAAGCATTGGTAGCTTTGGTGAGATTAAGGTTCTAGCTGATCCACATCTTAACAGAATAATGCACAGAACCGGTTTACCTCTAAAGAACATGGAATCGCCACCAGGATAGTCATTTGGAGGGAGTACCTTGCTTTCAATCTGACCAAGGATGGCTTTGGTAATCTTATCTAGAGCTTTGGTGCCATACTATGAGGAACAGCCAAAACAGACCACGGGTTAGTCCATGATTTATCTGAGTATTTTTAGCAGTCATTGTTCTATATCAAACAGTTACTCACTTTATTTTCAAAGTTGTACTTGCTCAGGTCTCTAGACTCTGTGGCCCTCCTGTCACCATGAGTCAGAGCTCCCTGTGAAAAGCAAACACATAGGTTAGGAATGTCAGGACCAAAGTAGTGATTTGAACGTATTACATCTTGTAAAAAGGGGAATAATAGGTGCCCTTTAATTATATAACATGTAAATGCAAGCAGAAACGTGTAATAAAATATGTGACCCTGCACCACAAAACCAGTCTTAAGTCGCTGGGGTATATTTATAGCAATAGCCAAAAATACATTGTATGGGTCAAAATTATAGATTTTTCTTTTATGCCAAAAATCATTAGGATATTAAGTAAAGATCATGTTCCATGAAGATATTTTGTAAATTTCCTACCGTAAATATATCAAAACTTAAATTTTGATTGGTAATATGGATTGCTAAGGACTTCATTTGGATAACTTTAAAGGCAATTTTCTCAATATAGTTGTATCTCGACCAAATATTGTCCATACATAAACCATACATCAATGGAAAGCTTATTTGTTCAGCTTTCAGATGATGTATAAATCTCAATTTTGAAAAATTGACACTTGTGGTACAGGGTCACATATATGTAATTAAAATTTTTAAAGTACTGAGAAATGGAAAACAAACTAGAAGTTAGCATGTCAAGGACGCACCAAGCTCTCCAGCCTTTTTGCCACGATGGACGCAAATCGTCGCTCGCCTGCCAGTTCGGAGATTAGGAAGATGTACTCCGGTGCCGTGACCTGATTTGAACGATGAGTACGACCTGAGGAACAGAAAGTTTTATCAGCTAGCTGTTTTGGTACAGTGACGCACTTTATGGGAAGAGAGCTTTGATGACCAGGTTAGAGGCTGTGGAATTATTGACGCCATGTTGGGTGTTGACAGTGTAACCACTTTTCAACAGCATCAAAGCACGTGTGATCTAGCCTGGAGCTGGTAGACTGTCCCACTTAGAGTAGACAAAATAACTAGTGCATGGCCACAAACTTAATAGGTAGACATAAGGCAATGCTGCCGACTCACCAAACTGCTGGATGGCCCTGTCTGCACTCCAAGGCAGCTCCAGGGTCATGTGAACCCTCCGACACTGATTCTTCACCCTTCTGTCAGCTTGAAGTGAAATCCCAGAACTGGCCGCTTCTGATATGATGGCTACCAACTGAAGGGAGCAAAGCAGAGTGTTACTGGATGGACCAAAGGAATCGGAGCCGAAAGGTTAGTGATTTTCTTTCTGAGATTTACCTTCTCTCCATTCATGAAGCGATCTTTCTCTTTGATGTTGATTTGGTCGATAGTGTGGCCCTGCTCAGCGCGAGACTCATATTGGACGCTGCTGTCAGACCGACGCACCACTCTGCCTTTACGTCCCGTCATCTGGGCGCATAGACATATAAGATGTTTAGCACCTGGACACAACCTTGTTTTTGAAGTGTAACTATACTTGGACTATTAAAATAAATACATAAATAATGACCTCTGATACTTGTTCTGGACCTCCAAATTTATCAATGAGCTCATCCAGTGTGTTAAGAGGTAGTTCTTTTCCCAGCTCAGCGATCTTGTTGAGAAGCCCTTGTTTCATCTCCTCTAACCGTGCTAAGAAAGGGTGAAAGCGAAAATCAATTGCTTATGTTTACTTCAAAGGTGCTGTAAGTGACTTTTTGGGGGAAATCATCAGGATGCATGGAGATAATATGAGTTGCACCATATAATACACAGTCAACATACCCATTTGGTAGCTGGTTTGATTGACAAAGATGACATCGTCAGTGTTGTCTTGGACTGAGTCTGGCGAGGAGTTGGAGTCGCTGTCCATGGCGTCAGACTCGGTGCTGCTGTCATCGCTGATGTTGATCACTACCGTTACATCAGTAATCTGTCGGGGTTGCTTTGGCTGCCGTGCCCGTGGCTTACCTGCGCAAGAACGTTCAATTAAACAATGAACCATGTATGGACAGTGATACTAACTCACGACACGACTCACGTTTCCTCTTGTTCCCAGCTCCTTTTTCTCTTCTCTGCTTCTCTGACGGAAAGTGTTTGAGGACCAGAGACTGAAACACACCCCTGAGGAACACACAAACACATCATTGTGTCAATAAGTCGACTAGAAGAGGTGTTTTTGTGTAATGGCCAATAGCTTAAGGAAGTGGTTATTATCAGATGACACTAGGTTTCAGAATGATACACGGCCTGTGAGATGACCACAGTAACATATTGAGAAACCTTTCTATCATTGTGAAACTGCAAGAAGTAGAAGTAGTCATAAGGTGGCCGCATATTTTAGAAAGGTTTCAATGATGCCCAAAATTCACTTACTCGGCAGCAGACACAAATCTGTCCAAGTGTCCGTCGTTTTCATCAAGGACTTCTCTGGTTCGAGCCTCACCTGTTGACTGTAGCCCTATCACGACACACTAGAGAGAGGGAAAAAAAACTGTAAAATGCCGTAGCAACAAATAATAATGAGAGAGAGTTCAGGGTCGCTGATCTGACTGACCTTCCCTGCTTCCAACTCTTTTTTGGCCAGTTCCACCAGGCAGCGCACCTTGGCAGCGATACAGAGGTATTTAAAGAAACGCTGGTGGGATGACCAAAACTGACCCCACAGGGATTTCCTGGAGCTCATGCAGAGTTCGTCAGCGGCCTGCATGAACACGGCCAAAGCTTCCGCCCACTGCAAAGGAGATATCAGATATATGTGTCAGATGTATGTACACAGCAAAATAACACATTTACAGACCAATTTAGATGGTACTTCATTTAAAGGGATAGTTCATTCAAAAATTTAAATTCGGTCATCATTTAGTCACCATCATGTTGTTCCAAACCCATACATCCTGGTAACTCTTTTTCATATACTGAAAGTGAATGGGGACTGAAGATGTTAAGCTTCAAAATGACAAAAATGCACCTTTAAAAGTCCCCTGAAATGCTTAGAAACATGCAGGGTTACTCTATGTGTTGACGTCATTTTAACTGAAACAGGAAGACATGGCGGGACATATCAAGCTGCCCCGCCCCTTTTTAAAATAGCCAATAGCGTTCGTTTATATCACAGCTTGGGCTAGAGCCGTTCAGAGCCGTTGAGCTCTGTAAAGCCGCATTTGACAGGGTATGCCAGCCACAATCTCATCCATCTTGCTATAAAATATAGCATTCTGTGTAGAATTCAAATAGCTCCAATACATTTTGTGGTCTGCGCTGACTCCCGCATGTGATCCACTCGTGCTATCGTGTCTGGTGGTTAGCGTGACACAGCGCGAAACCAGACTTTTTTTTTCCTCAATGGAAAGCGTATTTACACTGTTTGAATCGTTCCCTGTCCCCTATATAGTGCACTACGTGCCATTCACTGTACAGAAAATACTAATTCTGTGGACAAGTGACCGATTTCAGCCACGGCTTCAGCGTCTATTTTATAGTGTAGGGGGTGGGCGCTTCGGATTCTAGAGAGCATTTGATTGGACAAAGTTTGATGAGAAGCTGAAATACGATGTGACGTCAAAAGAATTGTTGAGCCGTTTTGGCGGAAATGACGAACTGCAAGCTTTGAATGCTTATATATCTTCTAAATGCGAATTTTGTCACTGTTTTGGAGCACACTGCCTTATAGATAACCTTAAGACCAACATGTTGATACTAACACCCAAAAAACTTTAATTTTGATTTCATGGGGACTTTAAATTATCGTAGTAATGGTTAATTTTCCCATTGCACGGTATTCAATGTCTTTATGAAGACTGGGAATATCTAGTCAGAGTGATATTGGCTACTTGATATTTTGGGACTTGACAGCACTAGTCCATATTCTCTTCCATTTTATGGAAAAGGTCATCCTGAATATTCTTTAAAAATTCAGGTTTAGATGTCAATTAAAATTTTTGGGTGAACTATTTTAATTATATATATATATATATATATATTTAGATTATATATATATATATATATATATATATATATATATATATATATATATATATATTTTTATATATATATATATATATATATATATATATATATATATATATAATTTTAAATAAAATTTCTGAAGATGGTTCTGTTCAGCGCTTTGTACCTACTGAATAACAGGAGATGTCTTTAACAAATATTATATTCAAATACTTGTTTTCAACATGTACACTACCATTCAAAAGTTTGTGGTCAGTACAATTTTTTCAAAATCCCCAAAAAAACGCTTTCACAAACACATTAAGCAGTACAACTGTTTTCAACATTGATAACAATAAGAAATGTTTCTTGACCAAATCAGCACATTATGATAATATGATCATAATATCATAATATTATTTCTGAAGGTTCATGTGACAATGAAGTCTGAAGTAATAGCTGCTGAAAATTCAGCTTTGCCATCACAGGAATAAATTACATTTTAAAATATATTAAAAGATAAAACAGTTATTTTAAATAGTAATATTTACAATAATACTGTTTTTAAACTGTATTTTTGATCAAATAATTGGTGAGCATAAAAAATATTTTGAACGGTAGTGTGCAATCAACAAAGCATAGTCTTTCTTTACTTTAAAGTCTTAAAAAAAATCCTTTGACCAACAGGACTAACCACTAACACACATTAAAGTAGAAGTGAGGGGAATGGCTTGGATTTTAGGGATTCTTCTCATAACTCACAAGTTTAGCAGCTTTGTTGTACACAAGTTTGAAATCATCATCCAAGCTGATCTCTTCTATGCGGAATGAGACTCCTGAGAAGCTGAGTTGGCGTGCAATGTACATCCCGCTGACCTTCATATCCATTGCGACGATCTCCATGGCCCCCACGCCCCTATAAATGAAGAGTACATTCAGATTACATATCCATAAAGGACTGTTTTCATATTTGCCAGCCAACAAATTCATGCTCCTCTGCAAACCTCTTCTCAATGGCGTGGAGGAAGTCGTCAAAGGTTCTGAAGGGGGTTCCCTCTCCCCAGATCCCCAGACGGCTCATATAGATCATGTTCTTTGGCTCCGAGGCACCTGTGGCACTGGCATACACCACTCTGGCCAATGGCAACTTGTTCTGCAGATCCAGCACGGCCTTGCCCATCTTTGTGGATGTTGCATTTTTGGCTTTGTGGCATTCGTCAAATATGATCTAAAGGAAGCCTACTGTCAAGGGCAAAACCAGCTTCATTGTTCACCCTCTTTTTTTTTTCTCTGAGGTTTATAAAAATAAATAAATAAATAAAGTCCTACCGGGGTCAGAAACAGACCCCCAAAGAAGTTGCAATGGGGCAAACAGAAGAAAATAAAACGTTTTTACAAAATTTATTTTAACTGTAAGAACTAAAATTTTGTTAAAGTAACATGAACTTAACAAACATTATACATATTTATATATAAAAAAAAATATATAAAAAAAATAAAATTATATATATATATATATATATAAAAATGCTGAAAATGAAATTTTAATGCTGGTTAGAAAAATATGGTCATATTTCTTTAATATTTTATATATAATAATATATAAAAAAGATTATATATTAATATTATTATAAATTATTATTAATAATTATTACAATTATTACAAATGTTTTCAAGATTTGTATTTCATCTTCAGTTTAATACAGAATACATAATTGTAATAAATATTTATATTTTAATATATTATCGAAAGTGAAAGTGACATGACATGTGGCCAAGTATGGTGACCCATGCTCGGAATTAGTGCTCTGAATTTATCCCATCCAAAGTGCACACACACAGCAGTGAACACACACACACCGTGAACACACACCCGGGGCAGTGGGCAGTCATTTTTTTGCTGCGGCGCCCGGGGAGCAGTTGGGGGTTTGGTGCCTTGCTCAAGGGCACCTCAGTCGTGGTATTGAAGGTGGGAGAGAGCGCTGTACATTCACTCCCCTCACCTACAATCCCTGCCGGTACGACTCTCTAACCATTAGGCCACGATTATTGTGATAACATTTAATTTTTAATCTTGCTTTAATTTTGGAAAAGTGTTTTTCAAAGGGTTTAAGGCAACACAGAGTTAGAAACCCCCTGCCAACAAAAACTATTTTATGCACATAGAAGGTAAAGGATACAACTCCATCAAAACCCGGCTCACACCAGTCTAGGATCTGCTTCAGACGCGTTCGGTGTTGGCCGCCTGCCTGACTCTCCCCAATTAGTGCTGAGTAGGTGGCAAACAGGACTCCTTCTGAGGTAGCTGTGTCTCCGTACTTTATCTGCATGGAAAACAGTTTCAGTTAGCCATGTTGAGAAACGCTACGGGGAAAGCCTGTGAGAATTTGCTACACTGGAAACGTGATCTCCGTTAACAGGGCTGCTGTATTGAGCTGCAGAGTAATAGTGACCTTATTCAAGGCATGCACTTGTATATTGGGTGCATGGATGTCTTGGAGATCTCTCTCTGCGTCATATTTCAGGTCATTGGAGACGCTGAACCTGGAGGAGAGATGAGGAGGATAAGGCAACGTATCTAGAGTCGGTGTTTGATATGGAGTTTTGTAGGTCTTGATGGATCTGGAGATCGCTTACCATAGTGCTTTCTTCCTTCCCTTTAAGTAGTTTTCTTGAATGATGCCAGCCACTGTGCGGCCTTTGCCAACTCCAGCGCCGTCCCCTATGAGGAAGCCGGCCCGCTGGTTGTTCTGGAGAATCACTTCATGTTGCTGTAGAGTGTTATAAAAAAGTCAATATTAATGGTCTGTTAATGACGAGAAAGTATAAAATATTTGCAAACAATCAGTGGGATGCTGAATTTACTACGTCTTTATGATGGAACTACAGGGATGTTTGTGAGATTATGACAGAAATGCCGATGCTGAATTGAATGAAAGTGTATAACTTTTTAAAATGTAATCTAAAATTAAAGGTGCACTAAGCAATATTTGAAAAACGCTTTTGACCACAGTGTCGGACTCAGTCCCAAAACACACCCGTGTCTAGTGATGATAGGGAGAAGAGAGCGCTCAGTGAGTGCACAGGATGGATATTAGCAGATCGACTATAGAAAGAGAGATGGCAGATAAAAAAAATAAATTAAAAAATAAGAGAAGAAATTTTGGAGGAACAAAACATTAAAAAGAAGGGTTACGATCAGGCAAGAGGTAGGACCCGCGTAAATATTGGCACAGCTTTCCAGCAGTGGACAGAACTCAAAGAGCGGTAAAGGCCTGGAATCGGACGCGTGGTTGCTTTGTTTCTTCTTGATAGGTGAGTTACGTGGTTTTTGCTTTGTTTCACACAACTAATCTGTGTTAGCTTTTGCTTGAATATGCTGCGTAGGCATAGGAGATTCCACCATCGTCACTGCCAGGGTTGTGTACGTACATGTGGTGCGGAGTTATCAAAATAGGGACAAGGTCCTGTTGGGGTATGGCCATGTTTGTTTTGGTGCTTCCAAATATCAACATCGTTTGGCAAAATTCACTTAGTGCACCTTTAAGTATAAAAAAACTTTGTAGCTGATTATATCAAAATAATTAAATATGTTTGTTTTAATTAAATGCTTTTATTGTTTTAATTAATTATTCCAAATTATTAACATAGACATTGAAAATGTCATAAAGTCTCAGTAGGTAGCTTATAGTAAATAAGGTCGGTCATAAAAGTTTTGCCAGACAAATAAGGTTGGGAAACTTTTAAATGAGACAATAAATAATGAAACAAAACAACAAATGAATAATACAATAAATAAAACAAATAACACAATAAAACATAAATAAATAAAAATTAATGCAGGATCTGAACAATTTAAAAATGGTTTGTAAATAGGCTCAGAGTTAAACAATAAATAAATAAAAACAAAATATATATAAAAAAATACAATAAATAAAACAAATAAAGCAATAAATAAACAAATAACTCGATTATGCAGGATCTAAACAATTTAAAAGTTGTTTGTAATCAGCCTCTAAATAAATAAATAAATATTTTTTTAACACAGTATATTTTGGACACGATATTATAGAGTTCAGTCCGTTGTTTTCTTTTAAAGTTTTGTTGTGCATGTTGTTTAACTAAGTGGGAGAAGAAAGGCAAAGCTGGTCAGGGGTACCTGGCAGGCGTAAATAATGGCCTCCAGCTGCAAGGCAGAGAGCAGGCCTCCGTTTATGGTGGTCTCTGGGATGGACAGGGTGTAGGTGATATCTGGAGGAGGTACGCTGGATAAAGTGTTGGTCTCCACCACTCGGTCTGGGTGAGATATTCCTATCTTGGCTGAGACAGCAATACAGAGAGCGAAAACAATATGAATCTTCCAGTATGACATTAATAGCCATAAAATGTGTGCATAAAAGCAAGCAACGCTAACATTTAGAGGGCCTGTAGTCTGCATAGGTGTCAACATGACCCAACTCTTCTGTCTCCTCCACCTCGACTTCCTCTTCCTCTTCTGGCTGTGTTTGGGGTCTCTGTGTAAACACGTGATAAGATTAAGAAAGAGAAAGACAGTTTGACTTTACAGAGACCTTAAAATCTTTCTTACATGTTAAAGAAATTATACTTATATTTTAGTAAAAATATATTTGTATTTTTATTATTACATTTTTATGTTTTTATTTAAAAATCATTTATTTAAACACAATAAAAATATTGTGAATAAAAAATATATTTTTATTATTTAATAGTATTTTATTACTATTATTATATATCATTATTAAGAGCAATTAACAACTGTTGATTGGGAGTTACCTGATAACCTCCAATGGGTGGTGTATTAATGATAGCAGTGATGTCATCCAACGAGTTTAAACCTTGAAACCTGTTAGAATTCAACTGAGGAGGAAAAAGAAAAACAAAGAGATTGAAAGAAAAAGTTAAAGCTAACAGAAAAATCACATGCTTTACTATCAGAGCGGGAACAATGTTTATGGGTGTGTCACTCACAGGTGTGGTTTCTCGAAAATAATATTCACCACAAATGCCAAAAACTACTGTAAACAATTGGTTAAGTTCAACATTAGCATTTCAAGTAAAGTGAAGTGTGGCCGAGTATGGTGACCCATATTCAGAATTTGTGCTCTGCATTTAACCCATCCAAGTGCATACACACAGCAGTGAACACACACACAGAGCAGTGGGCAGCAATATTGCTGCGGCACCCGGGGAGCAGTTGGGGGTTCGGTGCCTTGCTCAAGGGTCTCACCTCAGTCGTGGTATTAAAGGTGGAAGAGAGTGCTGGTTATTCACTCCCCCTACCGACAATTCCTGCCAGACCTGAGAATCAATCCCGCAACCTTTGGGTTACAAGTCTGACTCTCTAACCATTAGGCCACGACTGGAATAAAATGCATTTGCTGTCAGGAATTAGCCTCACCTCTTGGACTGATGCTGGTGATGTTTTAATGTCCCATATCGTGGGCACATTGGGAGGCATTTCAGTGTTGATTAAGTTGTTAACGGTGTATTCGGATAAAGAGTCGGTCGGAGGGGAGAAGATCGACAGATCATCCAGACCAGAGAGGTCCTGAGAGAAAAGAAAACGAGAACAATTTTACCAGTCACTTTTTTACTTCCTGACCTGTACTGCAAAAGGTTACAGAGAAAATAAGGGCATAGTCATGAAAATAGTGAAAATTTAAGAAAAGAAAAAAAAAAGGGTCCATTGTTGGTCAGTAACGTAGCGATATATGAAGCATAGCTCAGCATGGCAAATTCATGTGAGCAACATGAGCGAATGATTGGATTTCATCCGCAAAATTTCGATCAGCAATGGTAAATGTGAGCGCACTTTAAGAAAAAAACTTCTTAAGATATCTGGATATGAAACAAATGTTAATGCCAGATTTGAATGTGGTGGAGATTGTGGGACAAATTATAATGTTTAAACTGGATAATTCATCCGGTGTAGATGACCATAAAGAACCGTATGCACAAGAGTTCAGATTAGAGATAGCTGAGAGATATACGCACAGTAAATATTCCCTGAACCACTGAACCCACAATCTAATTAAACACAGAGCAGATGAAGTGCAGATGGTACGTCACACGCAACACTACAGTATTATGCTTTGGCTGTGAAGGACAATGCACTCAGTTAATCAGAGGCTTTTGTAGTAAAAGAGTGTGTGCTCGCTATTGGAATATATGAGGGATCTGAAGGGGCTCGAGACGCTCTTTGCACAGCCAAGATTTTCCAAGAACTCTTCACTGTTCGAGGAAAACCAGCGAGCGGTAAACAACCAGGAACTGGTGGGTGGCCAGGGGCTGTGGTATTTGATCCATTTCATTAATAAGAGCCATTTTTCAGTGTTAAGAAGAAAAGTTAGTCAGATTGAGGTTGACCTCAAAATGAGCTGTTTACAATCTAAAATATATTCAAATTCAGGGTTGTACTGATACAATCATATATCACAATGCTTTAGATCCTTGTATTCTTTGTGCATTCAAGTGCATAGAAGCTGTTAGTGTGAACTGCTGAATCAGAGCTGCAACGAAACATGACTTTTTGCAACATGGAAGGTGTGTGTAGGTTTGTGATGTTAGTTGGGTCACAGCAGTATCGTGAGAATCTCGGAGCAAGATTGCGTCCTCTTTCATAAAGATAAAAGGTTTAAAAACAAATGCATGCTAGTTCTGTTAGAAGCCACAAATTCAAAGTCTTTGTACTTCCTCTACTTGATTATGGAGATAATAAACATAGATTGAAAGCAGTGACATGAAACTGAGAGTGGAAAACTCTGCCATCATGCATCATTTCTTTTTTATCTAAGATCTCATCCATATAAATTTTTTTTAACTTTACATTTTTTAAAAACTGTAGCATATATGTATGCATGTGTGTGTGTGTGTGTGTGTGTGTATATACATATACACACACACACACATTATATAGGCCTAAACTATATAGTGTAGAAACATATTTTCATTTTATTTTATATAAATATAAATTGTAATAAATATATTTAATTTAATGACCATATTATATATACATGAATAAAATGTATGTATATACAGTGGGTACGGAAAGTATTCAGACCCCCTTAAATTTTTCACTCTTTGTTATATTGCAGCCATTTGCTAAAATAATTTAAGTTAATTTTTTTCCACATTAGTGTACACACAGCACCCCATATTGACAGAAAAACACAGAATTGTTGACATTTTTGCAGATTTATTAAAAAAGAAAAACTGAAATATCACATGGTCCTAAGTATTCAGACCCTTTGCTGTGACACTCATATATTTAACGCAGGTGCTGTCCATTTCTTCTGATCATCCTTGAGATGGTTCTACACCTTCATTTGAGTCCAGCTGTGTGTGATTATACTGATTGGACTTGATTAGGAAAGCCACAAACCTGTCTATATAAGCCTCTTTCCCAAAAAGACTCATGGCTGTATTAGATCCAAAGGGTGCTTCTACTAAATACTGAGCAAAGGGTCTGAATACTTAGGACCATGTGATATTTCAGTTTTTCTTTTTTAATAAATCTGCAAAAATGTCAACAATTCTGTGTTTTTCTGTCAATATGGGGTGCTGTGTGTACATTAATGAGGACGAAAATTAACTTAAATGATTTTAGCAAATGGCTGCAATATAACAAAGAGTGAAAAATTTAAGTGGGTCTGAATACTTTCCGTACCCACTGTATATATATATATAAGTACTTGTAATTTAAATATAAAAATATATAATTTATATACAAATATATATAATATAAATATTTTTTATTTAATGACCATATTATTTAATATATATATATATATATATATATATATATATACATATACACACACACACACACACACACATTATATAAATGCGTATTTGCTGAATGCTGATGGTAAACGAGAAAATATTATTGCCTTTCTATTACTAATAATATAAAAGCAATCGCTATAATACTTTTTTTAAATACCTTCTTTGTTCAGAACTGTTAAACGGCGACAGTTAACAATGAAGTGGGAGAATGTGAGAGCTGTGTGCGCAGGCGCTGGCGTTCTCAAAAATAAATAAATAAATAAAAGTCCTGTCTCAAACACATCAGCCAAACAGAAAAACTTATCGGCCGATGCTGATATTTGAAAAATGCAGATATATCCATCTTGGTGATATATCAGTCGACCACTACTAATCATACATAAATACCCTTGAAAAAAGTTAGATTTCCAATTGTTTCCAACTTTCTAAAATTGAAATGTTGTTTATTGGAGCAGCGTGAACCTAGACTTCATTAAAAGTCTAGGCCTAATTCACACCATAATAAGTCGACTGTTTAAGCAACAGTCTGTTCCTGTCTCCAGGCAGTGGTTAAGTTGTCTTTCCACATTCAAATGATGTTTCTCATTGATTTCATTGTGCTGGGAAGGATGAAGTGCTTGTGGAACACAGAATGACTTGACAACAGACAAAAACACATTTATGCCCGTATATAGAATGGCAACATTCCATCAGAGACCTGACACAGACTCTCAGCACTTGAATTCACTCCCACTGAAAACCCAGGAAACGCTCAATTCAGGAGTGACGGTGCTCCAGAAAGTGCTGCCAGAACCATCAGCGGGGGGATTCTGAAACATGAGGTCACAACCTGCCCATTTACACTGATCAAATGACTGCAGTCATGATTTACTATCAGAATCGTGTTGTAATGTATTTCATGCTTGCTTTGATCTTTTGAGGACACATTTGCAGAGCACTGCCAAACGGAACAAAGAAATACCAGAAGTCAATTTGATTCCAATAAGAGAGAGAGAGAGAGAGAGAGAGAGAAAAAAAAAAAAACTGTTCTGCAATTCTCTAAGGGGAATGACTTTGGATATTGTTTAGCAAATGGCAACGGCATAATTTGTCTTTGTACATTCTTGAGCAAACCACAAGGAACAAGGCGATACTTCCTGGAAGACCGCCTCCTCTCTCCACTCCTTTTCTCTGCTGCTGAGACAGCAAACAGGGATTCCCCCGCTTCAGGATGACAGTGTGGCATTGGATTGATGAATGTTATTAATATTTCACTTTTTCTGAAATGTATTTGCATAAACGGAATGTCAAAACAAAAAATGCTGACTTTTCCATTTGTTAGCAAAGATGTTGAGAAACTGAAATTGAGAAGGAAACTAATAAATGGGAAACATTTAAACAGATCGCAAAAACAACAACAGAATTGTTTTCGCTTTTAATAGATTTACGATAAAGATGAATATAAAAGTACATACGGGAAAATGAACCAAAAGGAATTCATTCCGCCCACTACCAAGCGACCTTACATGAACTCACTGACCTTGAATGAATGAGACCATCTTTTGTTCCTGAGTGAGACGATGGATATTTGCCAGACTAAACTGAGCCATTTTACATGATCACAAGGTAAAAATGCCTGCGAATAAACATAGTAACAGCTCAACCCTCAAGGTTTGATGTGAAATCATCCCAGTGAAATCCATCATTGTTCTGTGGTTTCTTTGATCTTTCATTATACTTATGTAAAGCTGTAAGAACTAATCGATACTTAAAATATTTTTTTTAACAAATTCTGTCATGGTTAAGTCGAGTCTTTGCACTATGCACACAAAACTTTTATCAGTGACACCATGTAGTAAAAAATTTCCATGAAGAAAAACGTTTAGTCATATTCTTATAATGCAACCATTTGCATTATGCAAAACAGTGCAACCTCCAAGCAAGTGACCGATTATATGCTGCTTTTGTTGTTATATACGTCATGGCCAATAATTCTTATTAAAACAATATCAGTTGTTAACATCAAATTTTGTTATTATTCGATTATGTCTCTTTGTTGTTTAAATTGCTAAATATCACTTAAATATCATCATATATCTGAAATTATCTGATATTGTCAAATCAAGCTTTTTTGAAATCCTGTTGGCAGTGCAAGTAATGATAGTTTTATATGAACATTAACTTTAAATGGTTTCGCTCCTTTTAAACTGTGAAAAGCTTTTGTAATCACTTTATATTGTCATTTTCATTTATATTGTCATTTTTATAAAAATTATCATAAAAATTTGGTGATCTTTGGGCAAGATGTAGAATATCAGAAATAACTGTCAGATTAATTAAGCATCAAAATAGGTGTTAATTGCAACCGGACCCTTATATAAGTATATTTAAGTATTAATGCTGTCATATTGTTACTTCATGAGCAATGTGTTTAATAATAGTCACTTCTGCATTTACAGGAATGCAATGTGGTCGCAAAGAAGGCACATAAAGAGAGGAAAATCTTTGCATTCATTTCCATCCATCCTAAATCCCACCGCTGTTTCATCCACAGAGCAGGCTGACCTGAACTCCATAACCTGCAGTGCAAAAGACAAATCCTGCAATGCTTTGACACTTTCCAGCCCTGTGAACGGACAATTTCAGTTCTGTTTGGTTTTTGGATGTGGCTCTCTGTAAAACCAAGGCTGCTTTGAAGACTGCTGAGGTGTCTGTTTGGGTTGGGCTGAACTGGGCAAAGATGGTAGAGTTTCCTAAAGCCTTTTTTCCATTTGGCAGGCACCG